TAGAGAATCGATAAATGTGGTTTAGTATAAGTTGTTCAACACTTTACTCAATTTGAAGGTTTTACATTCACAGTTATGATGACTTATGAATATTTGGATATGATTAATTAATTAATTGAGATGTTTAATTATCGATTTGAATTTAATTGAATCATGTCTAATATAGATATATCTTTTTAATTGAAATGTGTTAAATTTTAATTGGATTAAATAAAATTTAGAATAATTTATTTTCAGATTTTTTTGGTAAACGATTTGGCGGTTTGAAATGGTTTGCAAAGGTTGAAACCTAAACCAAACCATTTAGAAGCAGTTTGGTTCGGTTCAAAACCAAAACGTTGACGGATCCACGTGGAACCAAACCAATGATTTCAAGAAAACGGTTTCAGTTCGATTTTCCACCCGTGCAACGCACGTGTTATGTCATTTTTTAAGTAATATTAGTGTTTCAAAATATCTATTCACTTCTCTCAATAAATCTACAAATTTGATTAATTGTTTAAAATGATAAATGGAAATGTAATCTTTATATATGACACACACTCTGCATCTTCATATATTATTATTAATCGATAACATACATGAGTGTACTTGAGAGTTCAAGTTGAAGTCAAAAGAGTTCATATTTGTCCAAAATAATCGATACATATAAGATATACGAAAAAAGAACTACCGAAACATATATATAATATTTTTTGAACACACATATTTGATGTACGTCTAACTATTTTCGATATTTATTTAGATTATTCAATGTCTCTATGATATAGTTCTCGAAATTAGTTTCGAGAGAATACAGAAGATTTATGCATTCGACTACCTTATTTTGTGTTTCACTACTTTACCTTTGAATATCCCATAATATCTCACTTCACTCCTGAAATCACTACTAATCCTACGCATGTAATGCTATTGTTTTGCCTGATTTGAATTTTTAAGTAAAAAAAAAAAAAATAGTTGACGTCATACTACATAATATTTTTTTTAAAAAATGATGTAAATTATATTGAGAAAATTATTGCGAAAAAATAATAAAGATTAATAAAATAACTGATTTAAAAAAAAAAGTTATACATATTTTTTAACGCACACGTTTGATGCACGTTTAACCATTTTCAATATTCATTTAGATTATTCGATGTGTCTATAACATAATTCTCTTAATGAGTTTCGTGAGACTATCTAAGATTTATGCATTCGACTACTTTACAATCGTCGATAAATTTATAAAGTTAGCTTATTATCGAAATTCTTAATTTTTTAAATGATGTCTCTTTTGACATTAAAAAAACTTAAAAGTTTATTAGGAAATTTTCTAAATGACGTCAAAAATTATTGTTGCAAAAAAATAATAAACATTAATAAAATAATTTATTTTTTTAAGAAAAAAATGAGTTATATGCATTTTTAAAACACACGTTTGATGTACGTTTAATTATTTTCAATATTTATTTAAATCATTCGATGTGTTTATGATATAGTTCTCGAAATAAATTTCGAAAGAATATAGAAGATTTATGGTAAATTTTTATAAAAAAAACTAAATAAATCAACCAATGAAACCCAAAAAAAAAAAATGACAAAAAAAAAAGATCGCTTTGCTTCGTGCATCACGAAGCAAATCTCCGTCGGAGTCCCTTTTTTTTATTTTTTTTATTTTGGTGTCAAATTTTTTTCCTTTTTTTTCGTTGGATGATTTATTTAGTTTTTTTTAATAAAAATCTACAATAAATCTTATATTCTCTCAAAGTTCATTTCAAAAATTATATCATAAATACATAGAATAATCTAAATGAATATAAAAAATAGTTAAACGTACATCAAATGTGTGTGTTAAAAAATACATATAACTCGTATTTTTCTTAAAAAAAATCAATTATTTTATTAATATTTATTATTTTTTTGTGACAATAATTTTTGACGTCATTTAGAAAATTTCCTAATAAACTTTTAAATTTTTTTAATGTGAAAAGAGACATCATTTAAAAAATTAAGATTTTCAATAACAAGCTAACTTTATAAATTTATCAACGATTGTACGATAGTCGAATGCATATATTTTCAATATTCTCTCGAAACTCATTTCGAAAACTATTTCATAGACATATCGAATAATTTAAATGAATATCTAAAATAGTTAAATGTACATCATGTGTATGTTAAAAAATGCGTATAATTCGCTTTTTTTCTTTAAAAATAATTATAAAATCAATTATTTTATTAATGTTTATTTTTTTTCGCGACAATTTTCTCAATATAATTTACATTATTTTCTTAAAAAAATATTATGTATCACCTAGTGAAAAAAAAAAAAATTGCTAGGAGCAAAATTGCTATTTTTCTTGTTTTTTTTTTGTCAATTTTTTTTTCACTGGTGATTTATTTAATTTTTTATATTAATCTATCATAAATCTTCTATTGTTTCTCGAATATCATTTCAAGAACTATATCATAATTATATCGAATAATCTAAATGAATATTGAAAATAGTTTAACGTACAACAAACGTGTGTTTTAATAGATGCGCATAACTCGTCTTTTTTCTAAGAAAAATCAATTATTTTATTAATATTTATTATATTTTCCCGACAATAATTTTTGATGAAAATTTCTTAATAAACTTTTGAATTTTTTTAATGTCAAAAGAGACATTATTTAAAAAATTAAGAATTTCGATTTCAAGCTAACTTTATAAATTTATCGACGATTGTACGATAGTCGAATGCATAAATCTTCGATATTATCTCGAAGCTTGTTTCGAGAACTATGTCACAGATATATCGAATGATCTAAATAAATATAAAAAATAGTTAAACATACATCAAACGCGTGTATTAAAAAATACGTATAACTTGTCTTTTTAAAAAATTATTTTATTAATTTTTTATTTTTACGTGATAATTTTCTCAATATAATTTACACCATTTTGTTAAAAAAATAATGTGTTTGACGTCAATGATTTTTTTTTGTATGTAGGATAAATGTATATATGGCATAGGAAGTATATTTTCATGAAATCTGTCATAAAATGAAGAAAATAACTATAATTGGAAATTTGGAAGGGAAAAAAAAAAGCAAATTTTGACCTTGAAAACGATTCCCACCCAGCGAAACTTGGTGGCCATGATATGCGTGCCAAAAAGAGCTTTACGAATTGGGATCATGAGCGCAATTCTGATAATCGTAACGAAAGTTATGACCAAATTACCAAAAATACGTATAAAAAAAAAGCAAAAAAAACATAATAAAAAACCCTCCGTGCAGCGCGAAGAGAACTCTTCGCGCTGTAACACCCCGCATTTTTCTTACTATGTGAACCTAAACTTGTCATTTAGCATAAATGATTTATTTGTTTACATGAATTTTTAGAAAATTATTTGAGTCAAATATTTAAAGTTGATAAAAATATATCAAATATTATACTCATTTTGTAGCTCGTATTAAATAATATAATTTGGGTTCAAGAAAAAGTAATTTTGGGTTAGTCACGTCCGAGTTATTCTAATAAAAAGAAAAATGTTAACCTTTAATATTTTATTAATATATATATTAAAAAAAAAAGACAAAGGAAAAGGATACGATTCATGTAGGAATTCCAAAAGATAGTAAACATAATTACCAAAATAATTATCCTAATTAAATATTAATTAAATTTATTGATTTTAAATTATGTCACCAACCTTTTGAATTCCTTGTAGGTTATGAGCGAGTGATTATATATATGGTGCGAGATGAGAGTGTTTTGTATTAGAAATTTTATGAGTCCACTTTTATTTTAACACACAAACACTTTATTCACTTCCACATTACCATTTCAAATCACTTTTGTTTCAGAATATTAAGTGTTAACTGAGGTAAGAATACATGGTGCAAGTGGTAAAATCTTATTCTTGATATTTATGTAAATTTGGCATGAAATACTATAAGGCATTCTGGTCGAATTTTATATTAAATCCTTCGGGATGGACCGTCAGGTCAAAGAAAAGAAGTTAAATCTTATGGGATGGACCTCTGGGTCAATATTTTAAATCCTACGGGATATGGGATTTTTAAGAAATTTCTTGAGCTGTTGGAATCGCGACCAGTTGCTCTAAATTTAAGAAATGTCGGTATGTTATGCCATATTATGTTTATATCATGTTATAAGAATATGCACGTATTTTTACTGAGTATTTTCAAAATACTTACTCTTACAATATTTTCAGATGAAAACGGATCGTGTGGATGCGTGGAAGATTGACAGAGCGATGCTAATGGGGTCGTCAAGTAAATTTTCTAGAAAGATAATAGTTCACTTTTATTTGAAGAATATCGTGTGCATGTTGTTTAATATGTTGTTCAAGCATTCGATATGTTATGTTAAATTTTAAATTTATAAATTTCAAATCGAGTATTTACGATATATTTTCGCTTAAATTAGATAGAGAAAGTTTTGGTAGCCCCTCGAGCTTATTTTAATTTAAAAATAATATAATAATATGAAAAAGAGTTCGGGGCGTTACAGCGCTGCACGGAGTATATAGAAAAAATCACTGAAGCAATTTTTGACTTTCTGAACAAGTAACTTTGATGAAAATATCATGATATCCCTAAATGTTTTTAAATTTTACACCATCACAAGGATATACTTTGGACATTCCAAGCAAATTTTGACCGACAACTGTAATTGTTGTCCCGTTTTCTTGTCACAAACTTTGCAGATGTGGGGTCCAGTAAACCAATGCAAGGGTAAAAAAATCCACAAAAATTTCATTGGAATGCCTACAAGGCGCTGCAAAACAGTTTTGCTACAGTGGTGTGAAATCTAAGGCTACAAAAATGAATAGTAAACTCAAAGAGACTCTTATAAGAGAAGGTAGGAAAATATTTTATATTCAAAAGTCAAAATCAGTTTAGGAACAGATAACTCAACCAAGTGTGAAAAGAAGGGTTACAAGAATGAATAGTAAATTTCAAAGCGGCTCTTATAAGAGAAGGTAGGATATATTATTATTTTTTTAAATTTTAAGTTGTTATACACTCGAGTGCGTGTAACATAAGAGTAACAGTAACTAATATACAGTAAACATCTATCATGAGATAATGCATTCTGTAATTCAAATTCAAGTTCACTTCCTATTTGCTGATCAGTTCCTTCAATTCTGTAATTCAAATTCAAGCAAACAAGGTAGAGATGCAGCCATTTTGAATCACATTTTCTGGGCCAATTTCTCTTTCATCAAATTCCATTTGGGTGCAACTAATAGAAGATCACTCATTTCTAAAGTAGCTATAATTTAGCTAACACCTCTCAAGATCCAAAGGAGCATGGCGTCTAGTAGCAGAGTATACTATTCCAACGGTTCTGGAGAATAACGCAAGCCCTGTCACATGGAATAGCCTGCAGTACAATTTGCTCATCTACAATCTTTTCTTTTACGAGACCTAGTCTCACCAGGTTTTTTATGGCCTTGTCAACTGGCATTTCAACCTGCGGACAGCTTCATGAGTTGTTGATCAACAAAGAGGTGAAATATCAGATGGAACTGATTGTTAGATTACCTTTACTTGGAAGACATGGTAAATAAATCTCTCGCATTCGCCTCCAATAGTTCTGGTGTCAGTCACCTGCATTTAAGCAATAACCGATATAATTGTCTTCTCACTCTAAATAGGAAATTTTTTAGTTTTGCAGAGAAGCAATCTGGATTACGATTATATTTCTTGTCAGCAACTTTTGGGGCTGTTTAATATTGATGGATCGAACTTTAACCATCTCTTCGTAAAATCAATTGGTGTCTAGTGAGGGCATGCTAAACCTTTTAAGGCATTCGATTACCCTCATTTGAGTGACCCAATCCCTGGGCTCAAGAACGGCACTATTGCTCCCAGCGATCCCAAAATGACACTCTCATGGCTTAAACACATGACCGTGACTCTGACTCTAATGGCACTTGTTGCACTGGATTTTAACTATCTCATCTGAGAACCAATTGGTGTCCAATAAAGTAAGGCTAAACCTTTTATAGCATTTGATCACCAACATACAAGTAACCCAATCGCCAGTCATAAGAGCGGCATTGCTGCTCCTCAACAGATATATTGGAGGACATAAATATCGTTTATGAGAAATTAATTGTTACATAGTCTACTAAATACAAAAGGGAATCCACATTAATGAAGAAAAATGAGAAAGAAAGCACTTTTTTAAAATGAAATGAGCTTGGCCCTGTCTAGGCTTTGATAAGTCGATTTGAGATTTTTCTATTCGAGTAAAATAAGTAGATTTGAGCTTTTTCTATTCGAGTAAAATTTCTGAGAATGCAAACAGCCAGGATGCCAGGCAGAACAAAATTATCATCTAAAGCTAGCCAAATAAGTATGATTCTCACTTATAAGGTTGATGGAACAGTACTCCCGTAAAAATAAAAATAATGATGAAAATAAAACCTTCTCTTGGGAGGTTAGGCCAATAGGCCTAGCCCCTCTCCTAGTACTAGTTTTCTTTTGTTATTAAAAAATGTGCAACAGTGTGGTCAATTTATTCAAAAGATTGATAGAAAATAAAAGCTAACCTGACTACTCTCTGCTTTAAGTAGTATTGCATAAGCCAAAATGGCTTCCTTGTACTGCATAAAACGTCAGAAGGAAAAGAATGAGGTATATTATGTTATTCTTTGTTTCAAATCAAGCAAATGCCATTACGACAGAGTATCGGAGCTAAGGAGAGTGGAGGGGAGTTCTGAAAGAAATATTTAATCCCATCTCCCTTTTTCACTGGCTGTAATATAAAGATCAATAAACTATCTTAGCAATTTCTTACTTGCTGTTGTTCAGAAGCATCAAGAAGAAAATGAATGGAACCAAAGCCACTGGCTACTGTTTTCTCATAAAGTGTCTTGTTGACCAGAAGCTGAAATAAAGCTTAAACAGGTGAAGTGAAGATGCATGATTCATTCAAAACAACCAGGGGAAAGGATGAATTTAACTTACTTGATATCTGTCCCTGGTCTGTTTGTAGCCCAAAAGTACACGAGTCAAATATATCACAAGTGCACTGACAGCAATCACATCTAGAAGTATTGCTGATCTGTAGAAGTTAACATAACATTAACATTAGGATGATTATACATTGAGAAAAACCGCAGTTGAACATGTAGATATTCCGAGATTATGGGATAATTAGGATTTGATTATGTATGATTGTATAACCTTATTTAGATTAGGTAATTTTTTCTTTTTTCCATGTATAGGAAGTTACCTTGTTGGTCCCTCTTCCTATGCTATATATTGAGGCTCTAAGATTGTAATTAAAGCGTGAGAAAGTATTGTATAATTCATCTATACTTTCGTTCCAATTTACACGGTATCAGAGCTAGGGTCTGTCCCTACCTAACCATGCAGTTAATGGAAGAAAACACCGCCAACAGCAAGGAGTCGACAACCTCAGAAACACAAAACAGTGAACTTGAATCCCTTTCCACCTTGGGCTCTAGTGGACTCGACAATTCCTCCTTTCAACTCACAGTCGAAAAGTTGAACGGAAAAAATTATCGAGAATGGGCTCAGTCAATAAAACTCATCGTCGACGGAAAAGGAAAGCTAGGTTATCTTACTGGAGAAAAGAAAAAGCCCGCCTCAACTGACGTCGGACTTCTGCAAAAATGGAGGTCGGAAAATTCAATGGTAACTGCGTGGCTAGTTAATTCCATGAAACCTCCGATTGGAAAGACTTACTTGTTTCTACCGACAGCAAAGGATGTGTGGGATGCCGTTCGTGACATGTATTCAAACGCTAAAAATTCTTCACAAATTTTTGAGATCAAAACGAAACTCTGGCAGACGAAGCAAAGGGAGAGAGACGTGACAGACTACTACCTGGAGATGTCTTCACTCTAGCAGGAACTCGATCACAACGTTGACGAAGAATGGGACTGTCCGGCCGACAGTGTACGCTACAGAAAGAAAATTGAAAACGAACAAGTATATGAGTTCCTGGCCAGGCTTAATAGGGAATTAGATGATGTAAGAGGAAGAGTCCTTGGCCGGCGACCCCTACCGTCACTTCTCGAAGCCTTCGCTGAGGTTTGCAGAGAAGAAAACCGACGAGGAGTGATGCTTCGAGAAGGTAAGACCACCGGGCTTGAAGACGAAACTGGGTCTGCGTTATTATCAACAGAACGTGGGCTTGGTGGGTCGACCCAATTAACTAAAGGGTTTGGTTCAGCCCACTTACCTGGAAGGCCAGCATTAAATGGAGCTAAAGGACTTGGATCTATCGAATTGGGCCTAATTTCTAAAGGAACACCCACTAATGGGTTTGGCCCAAAACAACAGAGGGGACGTCCTTGGTGCGATCACTGTCGTAAATCGGGGCATAAAGCAGATACATGTTGGGAACTACATGAAAAACTAGCTGACTGGAAACCAAGACAAAATAACAGGAATCGGGTTACCAAGCGGTTGTTGATCCTATCGAAGAAAAGAGTACCTCTACTCAGAGCGGTGCATTCAATCCTGAACAATTGGAGCAACTATATAAAATGTTTTCAAGTTTCCAATCATCGGGTCCATCAAATTCACTAGCTCGCAAAGGTAATTCTTCGAAAGCATTACATACAACTACTCAATCCACAGTTCCTTGGATTATTGACTTAGGTGAGTCCGATCATATGACGGGCTCCTTCCACATTTTTTCCAAATATTCCACTTCTGCTGGCAATATCAAGGTTAAAATCGCAGACGGCTCACTCTCACCTGTAGCACGAAAAGGGAGTATTTGAATCTCTAATTTTATAACATTGGAGTCTGTTCTCCACGTTCCAAACCTATCTTGTAACTTATTGTCAGTTACCCAATTAACGAAAAATTCCAATTGCTCAGCTAAATTTCTCCCGTCTTATTGCATTTTTCAGGATCTATCATCGGGGAGGATAATTGACAGTGCTAAGGAATGTGGGGGACTTTACTACTTTGAGGAAGCAGACGTGAGTAAGAATAATCAAATTGCAAATTGTGATTCTGCTTTTGTTCCTAGAGAAAGTGAGCTTTTGTTATGGAATTTTAGAATGGGTCATTCCAATTTTTCGTATTTACGTCATGTATTTCCTTCCATGTTTTCTAATAAAAAGACATTTGATATTCAATGTGAACATTGTGAACTGACAAAACATCATCGTACTTTCTTTCCAAAATCTACATACAAATCTTCGAAACCATTCACCTTAATTCACAGTAATTTATGGGGTCCTTCACGAATTCCGAATCGAATGCACAAAAAATAGTTCGTAACATTTATAGATGATCATACTAGAATATGTTGGGTTTATCTCCTAAAAGAAAAGTCAGATGTCAGATCCGTATTCATAAATTTCCATTCAATGATTCCAACACAATTTCAGACACAAATTCAAATATTGCGTACTGACAATGGTACAGAATATTTCAATACCACCTTGAAAGAGTATCTCCAAAAACATGGAATAATTCATCAAAGTTCCTGTGTCGATACTCCACAACAAAATAGCATTGCTGAGCGGAAAAATAAACACCTCCTTGAGGTGGCTTGTGCCTTAATGTTCACCACAAATATGCCAAAATTGTTTTGGGGAGATGCCATTTTAACCTCGGCCTATCTCATCAATAGAATGCCCAGTCACACTCTCTCCTTCAAATCACCACTCCAAGTATTTCAGGAATTCTTCCCCAATTCCCGACTTGATTCGAGCTTACCACTCCGCATATTCAGTTTTACTGCTTTCGTCCACATACACCATTACCACCGAAGTAAACTAGATCCTCGTGCACTTAAATGCGTGCTCATTGAATATTCATCTACCCAAAAGGGCTACAAATGCTATGATCCATCCACAAGACGAGTATTTGTTAGCATCGATGTCGCGTTTTTTGAAAGAACCCCTTATTATAAAAAACCCTATTTTCAGAGGGAGAATCTAAGTGAAGATCGGTTCTCAAATCAAGATCGATTCTTCAACTTTAATCTTTCCCCTAGTGAACCTATCATAAACACCGAATCCGAATCAATTACTCTTCCTGGTCCTAACATGCTATCTACAAAGGTAAATTTAAACTCAGGGAGAGATGCTGAAAAACGAGTTAGCAAAGAGATATTAGTTTACTCAAGAAAGCCGAAATCATTGTATAAGGAGAACCTCACATCTGAAGCACCAAAAGAGTTCGAACCGATGATAGCTCCAGCAAGTGATCTACCTATTGCTCTTAGAAAACAACCTCGGTCATGTACTCTCCACCCTATCTCAAAATTTGTTTCATATAACACTCTATCTACAAGATTTCGCACTTTCTCTCATAACCTTGATGATACAGAAATTTCAAAGAATATTCAGGAGGCCATGGCTACTCCCAAATGGAAAGAAGCAGTTTTGGAAGAAATGCGAGCACTGAAAAAAAACTTGGGATGTGGTAAACTTACCAAGAGAGAAAAGACCTGTCGGGTGCAAATGGGTTTTTAATGTGAAGTACAAATCTGATGGGACAATAGAACGGTACAAAGCTCGTCTTGTTGCAAAAGGATATACACAGGCCTACGGAATTGACTACACAGAAACATTCGCCCCTGTAGCAAAATTGAATACAATCCGAGTTATCTTGTCCTTAGCAGCAAATTTGGATTGGCCTCTCCAACAGCTAGACATCAAGAATGCCTTCTTGAATGGAGAATTAAAAGAAGAGGTTTTTATGACATTACCCCCAGGCTTCTATGAAAGCGAGGAAGAAAATAAGGTATGTAAACTCAAAAGATCCTTGTACGGTCTCAAACAATCACCAAGAGCATGGTTCGACAGATTCGCAAAAGTTTTGAGAAGTCAAGGATATCAACAAGGGCAGTCAGACCATACAATGTTCTACCAATTATATGAAATAGGGATGAAAACAATCTTAATTGTTTGCGTTGATGACATCATATTGATTGGAGATAATATAGTGGAAATAGAAAGGCTTAAGAAGAGCCTAGCCACGGAGTTCGGTGTAAAAGACTTGGAATAGATGAGATACTTTTTGGGAATGGAGGTTGCCATATCAAAGATAGGCATCAGTGTTTCACAACAAAAGTACATTCTTGACCTTCTAATGAAAACTGGCATGCTTGGCTGCAAACCAAGTGACACACCAATAGAGGCTGGAAGAAAGGAAGAAAACACAGGAGAATCAATTGAAAAGGACAGATACGAGCGATTAGTAGGCAAATTGATCTATCTCTCACACACTAGACTTGATATTGCATTTGCAGTTAGCATGGATAGCCAACATATGCACTCTCCAAAGGAAGTCCATTTAGAAGTATTATACAAAATTCTCAGATATCTTAAAGATACTCCTGGAAAATGACTTTTCTTTAAAAAAGTGAAAAGAAAGAAGTAGAAATCTTTACTGATGCAGATTGGGCTGGTTCAATAGAAGATAGAAGATCAACTACAGGCTATTGTACCTTTGTATGGGAAAATTTGGTAACTTGGAGAAGTAAGAAGCAAAATGTGGTAGCCAGAAGCAGTGCTAAAGCCGAGTTTAGAGCTGTCGCACAAGGAATATGCGAAGGACTGTGGATAAAAAAAGTTATTGAAAGAATTACAGACGATGGTGAACTTTCAATAAAACTTTATTGTGACAACAAAGCAGCGATCAACATCTCCCTCAATCCAGTTCAATATGATAGAACCAAACATGTGGAAGTGGATAGACACTTTATCAAAAAAAAGGTTGAAGAAGGGACCGTATGCATGATCTATGTGCCTACAGGAAAACAAATTGCAGATATCTTCACCAAAGGATTGCTACGACGGAATTTTGAGGAATTTATTTGCAAGTTGGATTTGATCAACATTTACGATCCAACTTGAGGGGGAGTGTAGATATTCCGAGATTATGGGATAATTAGGATTTGACTATGTATGATTGTATAACCTTATAGGTAATTTTTTCTTTTTTCATGTATAGGAAGTTACCTTGTTGGTCCCTCTTCCTATGCTATATATTGAGGCTCTAAGATTGTAATTAAAGCGTGAGAGAGTATTGTATAATTCATCTATATTTTCGTTCCAATTTACAGAACATAATTGCAACACAACAGTGACAAAACAGAGCTTACAAACCAATCCTCTGAAACAGCATTTTGAAAAAAACGACTCCTAAAATATTCTGAAACATGATGCATTAATGTTAATCTGTATATGTTCAAATGAGGTTGCAAAAGAACGCCTAAAAATTATGAAAATACTATAAATATCCCAGTAGCTATGCAATGTGGAAACAAATAGCATCTGAATCTAAAAGGAAGCAGCAGACTATCATGATTTAAAGTCAGATGATAACCAAGGGACAGGATTGCTAACTAAATTTTCTTTAATCTGCTCTGCTAGTATACTGATCTGCATAAATAAGGTTTAGAGTCTGCTCTTACAGCCTCATTCTCTCAACTCGCGCATTAATACCTTCCCAAACACAGTCTTATTTCTCTCAAATTTGAATTTCCTGCTTCTTCATCATCTCAGCAACCTTCATCACCAAAAACCTACAATCTCTTGAAAGATCTATGACTGGGACTCAAGCACTACCTCCATGCTCCTGATACAGCTTCTTTTCAGCTAGCATGAAAAGTCATTTCTTGAATTTGGAGCCCAATTACTCATTTAGCATAATTCTTGGGTAAGTCTAGCCAGTGTGGTAAGACTAGCTATATATTGAGCTGTTTCAGCTATATCTTTTGCAAATTTTTTTTTCATTACTAGGTGCTGAACCAATTGATCTAAAGGCTTAAGTTGTTTTATCATGTAAATTGTGTCTTCAACACAACTTCTCAAGCTCAGAGGCTGGTTAATTTTTCCATCAAAACCTGCCAGGTGCACAATCTCATTAAATGGGAGACAATAAGATATGAATTCAACAACTTTGCTTCTAATAAAATGTTTAACCAGTTGATCTAAAAGCTTAAACTGTTGAAGAGGAATACATGTTTATCATTTAAAATTGTGTCTTCAACATTAGGCATTTTTTTTGGTTACTTCTAGTTATTGAGGCATCTCTTCAGATCTAGTACCACTAGACTTGGATACGAAGTTCCCTGTCTTCAAATATATTTTCTTAAAACTCTTTTTTCAGAAATGCAATAAAATTTTATATCAACCCTTCATTGTAAGAAGCATGGTTCTGTTCTCTTCCAGTGGTGCCTAAGGGCCTAGGTGTTGCCTCAGTTTCTTTTATTATGCCTCCTCATCTTAGTTAACTTTCTGCGGACACAATTCATCAAGCAGATGCTGGTTTCACTGAATTTCTCACTTAGATAATATCATGTCCTAGTTCCCTGCTGAAGAGAGACGTGTATTACATAAGCATAAACATTTTTTGAAAATCATTAACTCAAATTTGATATATCACGAAAACAAAACAACACAAATCCACAAATTTAAGGGTAATGTCATGGAGCTAAACTTAAAGGCAATAATATAAAACCAGTACATACGGGGAAGATAAGATGTCCTCGAATTTATAATTTATGATGAATGCTAGAAGTCCCAGAGTAGTTGCAACATCCAGGCGTACCTGCATTATCATTATAGTATCCGATTAAAATGTCCAACCGTATCTCCAAAGCTACAACTACTTGCTCAATAAAAAACAAAAATACATTTGAAGTATGAAAAAGTAAACATACTTATCACATTAAATTTGACAGGATCTCCATGCAATAAAGAGTAAACATCCTTCGTATAACTGTTTGATCTATATTAGCCACGGCATTATAGTGTCCATAATCTGTGTAAAATACTAACACAAGACCCACGAAATTCATAAAAATGAAGATTGTTCTGCTAATTATTTTTTAAAACATTGCATTTTTTAATTTACTTTTTAAAGAGAATTAAAATGTTCACTCTCTTTCTAGTCTTCGTGGTGTCCACCATCCACTTAAATAAAACAAAAGTAACTGATAGCATTACAAAGCAAAGTAGCACATAAGTTCAGAGATGCTATTACACACCTATGCACATCCAAATATTATCTCATTATCTCCCAAGACCCCTGAAAAACCAAGTCTAGTTAAGGCCATCACTGTCACTCATTAGATTCACTGCCTATATTAAAATAGACCAACATGATGACCAAGCACAATTTGTTGATGACTGTAGTCTCTACATCAAATTGCAGGAAAAAAGTATTTTCACTGTTTCCTCGATAGAGGGGAGCAGGGAAAGGCTATCGGGATGAGTGAAGTAGATTGATTTGAGTTCTCCATACCGTGTCAAGGATTCTGAAAGACAGCTTCTTGTGAGGAAAAACAACCTACAGGAAACGTAAAATTATTCATGCTCGCTCAAATTATTTAATGTAGAAATAAACCATAAACATTTCGATGCCAAAGCATTTACCGGCAAATCTGGTATAGGAATCTTCTCATAGATTTTCATCTGCAATGACGAAATCTCAGCTTTATCTTCATTTTCTCTCGCTCCCGTATCTTCAGTGTACAGCAAAATTAATTCTTGGAATGCAGGCTCCTATTATAAGAAATTTTTACAGATTAAAGTGCAATATCATAAATAGTTTCCTTCACATTAATACTGGCCCCCTTCTTTTTGTTTTAATCCTGATGCCAGACAAATTGTCCAGTATTAGAGTAATCAAAAAATGGTAAATAATTATATTCTATCCATATCCTGTTCTTGATGTCAAGTACCATCATACAAAAAAAGTTGGTAGAAGATCATCCGGTGACCAATAAATGTACATTCTATTTACCAAGGATTGGAAAACTAATGGTAATTAAGAAAGTAGACTCCCGGGTAGTTCATTCCCTTCAATCTGAATGGCATAGTAGGTTTATGTAAAGCCTTTCCATCTTTTATATTTCCAAACTAGCGCAACATGCATGTTCCAGTAAAATTGTATTCAATTTTTAGACTTTAGATTAGTCCTATTCAAAGTGAAGTGCATGATATCATAGATGTCGCTAGTCCCTGACGGCAATAGTTCTCTCTTGCCAACTACGTATTTATAACAGAAGCAATTTAGAATCTCACATAAATGTTCTATTTCTTTCACATAAATCCTCATAACTTTGATTAATTTCAAGCTTCAATGAAATGAGGATAGCGTTCCGTGTATTTCACTTGAGGAAGTGAATTCAGGCCTGAGTTTGAAAATATATTGTAAGGACTGCTATTAGCACAAGTACAAAAAGCAAGACTGTAACTTATTTGTTTACCTGTTGGCCTTTCACTTGATTGGTGGGAGGAAAGTGGAAGGTAGTCGCAGAGAGAATGATAGGACACCCATGTGCTCAGAGAAATGCTATAGAAAGTAAACATAATATAAAATTACCTGTAGAATGGACTGTGAGAAAAGAATGGAAACACCAGTTCTTAACATCTTCCAGAAATCATTTCCACAATATTTTGGTGAAGCAGGTTTCCATATATCACTAAGTGTCATCCTTGACAGAAAATTCGGCCTGTACGATACAACGTTCGCTTTGTTTTAGTCATTGGTATTTGAAAAGGATATGTTCAACAATCTTCAGGAAGTCATATACTGGATAACCTCCACTAAGTGAAATTAGCATGAAAAAATCATTATGCATGTATATAGGTAGATTGCTGGACATTTTATTACAGAGTGTCTTACTAACCAAGTCATAAAATTTACTGGATGCCAAATTTTTGCAGCCATTAAAGATAAGTTGCTTTTATCCTGACAGAAAAACGAGATCCTTACACTATCACTGAGTTCAAAAATCAATTAGACCACACTTGACAGAAATTGGTAAGTTAGGGAAAAAAAAAAAAAAAAGTTGTCCACAAAAGTCTATGGCGCCACCATCTGGAAATTTAATGGCCATG